TACTAAGGTCCTAATTTCTTTGTTGACTATTAGATCACTCTCAACTCCAAGAGTTTACTACATTCTTAGCCATGTATGTGGTCCCTCCCAACTTCAAATCAGCAATGGTGTGTCAAATATTTCTAGTTCTTTGGGTCTCTGACTTTTCCTTTTCTCTGGCCTTTAAATGCAGGTTTAAAGGATCCATGTGATTAGGTCAGGCCCACCTGGATAATCTCCTCTTTATTGAACTCAAAGTCAACTAATTAGTAAACTTAATTACATTTTAAAAAATCCCATTTGCCATATAATGTAATATAACCATAGGAGTTATATCTCATTATATGCACAAGCTCTACCACATTCAAGGGAATGATGAAATTATATGAGAGAGGGTCTTTGGAAGTCATCTTAGAACTTTGCATATCACAAAATATTTGGATATTTTTGTTGGAGGAATAATCAACTAAATAATGATATAATAGGTGTATAGTTTGGTACAAAAAAAATCAAACAGGGAGAGCACACACACACAAAATATTACTGGGGGAAAAATTTTGTACTAAGTAATATTGCATATAAACTCCTCCTACCCACAGATATTTTACAGTTAAGGACATAAGAAAATAATACATTATGTAGAAGTCATTTTTCTGATGTCATGCTCTGAGAGTACTTTCCAAAACTGTATGTAAGGTCGAAGGTGGTTTTTCCTATTAATCAATCAGGTTACTTCCAGAGGTCCTTCTAAAACCACATATTAGACTCAGACCCTGTGAACTGATATCATAGTGCTTTGAGTATCTAATCTTAAAACTAACTTGTCACACTTACTTGACATGACTCTTAATCATCTGTTCACCATTTCATTTCTAAACCTTGCACCCTGTATTTATGGGATAAATTGTGTTGTAATTTTTATAAAGCTTTGCCTTGTTGCCCTCTTGCCTAACTTCCACAATATTAACTCTTCTGTTATTAAAGTCTCATATTATGCTGCAATTGCTTTAAGAGAGCTATTTTTTCTCTCGCAAATTGAGTGTATATACTTTGAAGGCAAATGTAATGAATTTTTTCCCTCTAATCTCCACAGAATCCAATACTATCATTAACAAAGGAAGGATTCCCTAGAGATTTTGTTGTTGTTGTTGTTGTTTTGTTTTTGTTCTTGGTGGATCACTGAATCAAATAGTATTTAACAAAGCAAATTGCATGAATTAGGAGAATTAGTAAATAAATAGCATATAAATTCTTAATTATGGAATGAAATATGGAACTGGTAAAAGAAGGATTGAAAACCTGTATAGCTTAAAGTTTTAGAAAAGAAAATTTGTAGGATATATCTATAAACCAGAGAGAAAATACACACATATATATATATGAAATGCATGTATCTATATATACAAGGTAGGGCAAAAATAGGTCTACATAAAAACACAATAATTAATATATAATAATAAAAAAATAAACTGTTTTGCGTACTCACAACTGTAAACCTACTTTTGCCCAATCCTGTATTATAAAAATACTAGAGGCCCGGTTCCCGAAATTTGTGCACTGGAGGAGGCGGTGGGGGTCTCTCAGCCTTGTCTGTGCCCTCTCACAGTCTGGGAGCCCCGCAATTGATCACCCCAAAGAGGTAGGCCCTGCCCACCTGCTGGGGCTCCATGATGGATCGCCCCGACAGAGGGAAGCCCCGCCCATCCACCTCAGCCCGCCAGTCGGTGGCCTGGGACTCCCTCTTTGGAGCAATTGTGGAACCCCCTGATTGATCGATCGCCCCACCAGCTGGTGGCCTGGGTCTCCCTCTGGAGGGTGATCATGCGATTGATCGCGCCCCACAAAGGGAGGCCCCGCCCACCCGCCGCAGCCCGCTGGTCAGGGGCCTGGGCCTCCCTCTGCAGGGAGATCATGGGGCAATGGCCAAGCCTCCGACCAACCACATTGCACCCGACTTGGCTGGCCTGGCACCAGTGGGTGTCATCGCGTGGTCCTCCAGATGGTCATTCCGCTGTTCGGCCATTTGTGCTCGATTTGCATATTCTGCTTTTATTATTATAGATACTAAGACCCAGTGCATGAATTCGTGCATCAGTAGGGTCCCTCAGCTTGGCCTGTGGGATTGTGCCGAAACCGGCTCTCTGACATCCCCCAAGGGATCCTGGATTGCAAGAGGGTGCAGGCCAGGCCAAGGGAACCCACCAGTGCACAATCAGGTCTGGGGATGGATGTGGGAGGTTGGCCAGTCAGGGAGGGACTGGGGTAGGGCTCCAGGGTGTGTCCGGCCCGTCTCACTCAGTCCCGATCAGCTGGACCCCAGCAACAACCTAACCTACCAGTTGGAGTGGTACCCTCTGGTCATCAGTGCACATCACAGCGAGCAGTTGAGCAGCCTTAGCATATCATTAGTATATTATACTTTGATTGGTTGAATGAATGACCAGACAACTGGACACTTAGCATATTAGGCTTTTATTATGTAGGATATTTTCCACCTAAATCAAGAAATTTCTATCCAAAACACAACTATAAAGGTCTTCTGTTATCACTATTAATTCTGAAAAGTAACCTTCTTAGGTATTGGTAAGTGTAACTTTAAAAAACAATGGGAGCAAACACTCCATAAATGCTTACAGATAATCACATAGTTTATTGCTTTTTGTTAAGAAAGACTTACTTCAAATATCTCTTCAGAAAAAAAAAAACAATGAACACACATGTACACACACATATTCACAGAGTTAGAGTAAGAGCAGGAGCTCTGACATCAGACTCACTGGACTAGAATCTAATGTTTCATAGCCACAGTGTGCTCATTAGCCCCTGGTACATGTATGTTAAATAAAGATAATGCTATTTTTACATCGCCATAGTATTCTGAGGTATTAATGAGACAATGCATGTAAAGTGCTTAGTATTGGCACATAGTAAGCACTTGTTCAATGCTTAGCTATTAATAAAATTATTGTGGGCATCTAATATGAGTCTACCATAAAAAATGTAGTTTTCCTTTTCATCTTAGAAGAAGATGGAATTAATATACATTGAGAAGAAGATGGAATTCATATACATTGAGTAATTACTAAGTGCCAAGTACTATACTAAATAAATCCTCAATTAATCCTTTTCACAAACCTATAAATTAGTATATCTCTATTATATGCATGAGAAAACAGTGGCTTACACATTGAAAGTAACTTATGCAAATTTAGAACAGCATCAGAGAACAGGATGCATGTTTAATTTGGCCTGCTTAACTCCAAAATCCATGTTCACTATGCCAAGTATTGTTCCCTGGCAATTTTCATTATTTATGGGTTCAAGGTAATTAGGGTAAATTAAAATTAAGAACAGATAGAACCATGACTAGCATATAGAATACCCTTTCAATAAAAAATCTATTTAGTGTGGTAATTTTTAATTCATAATTTTTAAAAGAGAAAGAATCAAATTAATTTTATATTAAACTATATTCCTATCTGATGAAATAAACTTTCAGCTGCATAAATTTGTTTCAGAAATTCATATTATTTTTAATTGTCTTCATAATCTTGTTTGTGGTTTTGTTTTGTTTTTTTGTATTACAAAATAGATTTTAGGGCCTGCATTCTTGCCATTTATTACATTATTTTTCTTTAAAATATCTAATTATATTATGCTAGAGGCCCAATGCATGACACTTGTACAAAGGGCTCGGTCCTCATTGCTGTGGCAGCTTGCCTCAGTGGCTTGCCTCGGCCCTTGCAGCCGCAGCTTCGTCCAGAAGGTCATCCGGAACGACGTCCGGAAGGTCATTTGGCTGTCTGGTCTAATTAGCATATTATGCTTATTATTATAGATCCTTAGAGAGGTGATGGGACTTGGCTATGGACAAGGAGAATCTATACAACCTTCAGTAGAGAAGGCAAGCACCCCCTACGGTACCCAGTGCTTAAGCATCTTTCACAAACAGAGCATTCGTATCTGAATGGCATCTTCCAGAGAAGCAGTGTTAATCAGCAGAAGGAGAACCACAAGTTTTGCCTATAAAGTGGCAACACACTTTCCTTTTAGTTCCTTCCCACAGGAATACACTGAGGACGCTGAACCTGAAAAAGATTTCGTTCCTACCACAATGAAGAGGGAGCAGACAGGTGGTGTCTCAGGCAGATAGACACATGGCTCTCCTATGCTCTCTCCATTCAATCAGCCACTGCTCTGAAGGATTTTTGTGAATAAATGAGAGTTAAATTAGTTCATCATCTGAGTTTCAAAAGATAATGTGTAGCTTTGCCTGTCTTTTTTCTTCCCATTCCAGTGTTAGCCTTCTTTATTCCATAAGTGAGAGACACGATTTCTTTTTTTTCTTAAACATTTTCTCTTTATTTGCCCAGTTCCAGGACATAGTGCACACTTTATTTACTCTTTTACAAATGAGTAAACAGAGGCTGAGTAATTACTTTCTTTTTAAAATTCATCTGGATATAGGATCAGAATCCAGAACTTCTGGGGTATTTTTTGTTTGATTGTTTTTATTTGTGTTGTTGTTTTTTTTTGTAATTAAACTTTTTTTGGGGGAAAGTATAGATTCACATGTGGTTGTAAAAAATAATACAGAGATATCCCATGTACCATTTACCCATTTTCCCCCAATGGTAACATTTGCAAAATTATGGCACCATATCACAACCAGGATATTGGCATTAAGACAATCCAGAGTAATTCCACCATCCCAGGAATCCCTATGTTGTGCTTTTATTTTGTATTTATTCATTTATTTTTCTTTATTGATTAAGGTATTACATATGTGACCTTTTCCCTCCACTGTCTCTCCACCTCCCCGCACATGCCCTCACCCACCTAGTGTCTGTGTTCATTGGTTATGCTTATTGCATGTATACAAGTCCTTTGGTTGATCTCTCCCGCTCCCCTCACTACCCTCCCCTGCCTTCCCTCTGAGATTTGACAGTCTGATCGATGCTTCTCTGTCACTGAATCTGTTTTTGTTCATCAGTTTATGTTGTTCATTATATTCCATAAATGAGTGAGATCATGTGATATTTATCTTTCTCCGACTGGCTTACTTCTCTTAGCATCATGCTCTCCAGAAGGCACTATTTCTTGATGTTCCTTCTTCTTTGTTCCTGTTCAGTATCTTCTGCTTCTCCTTGACTCTCCAAGTTCTGGCAAGCCTCCTGCCATGGCCAGCTCCTGGTATTCCTAGACTCACCCCCTTAATGGAACACTGCTCAGTCCGCAGAAGCTGAAAGGCTGATGTGGTTCAGCCAGGTCACCCTCTATGTTTTTACTTATTTATTCATGACAAGCACATCACTCAAGAAGCTTTATATGCATTTTCTATTGATTTTTTGAAGGATTAGAGTAATCCAATAAGCTTGTTATAAAGAAATAGAAAAATTAAAATTGTACACAATGTGACTTGTTTTCTCTTCTAAAGGCAAATACCTTTGGAATAGAGGTTAAAGCAATGGAATAACATGATTACATTTTATTTAGGTAACAGAGAAATGATTGCTTTACTGAAGTATAAGAGTGAAGTTAATGTACATAATACAGAGGATGCTTTTGTACAAGTCATTAATGTGTCCATCTGTACATTTTAGGAACTTATTGCTATTACCTATTTTTACAAATCTCATATAAGCTACAAATTCTATTCCCAGAACCATGTACAAAGTTTCACAGTTTTAAGGTTGTGTAAGTCTCTTTTTTCACTAGAATTTGTGAAGATGCCTTTAGTTGCAAGTAAAAACTAAATTAAAATAATTTAAATAATAAAAATTCATCATCACACACATATAAGTAAGTTCCAAGGATGGTGATACGTCTCCTCAAAATACCACCATGGACATTAGTACGTTTTGTCTTTCTTGTCTGCCATTCTTGGCACGTCATTTTGCACTTGGACTAGGCCTCTTAACAGACACAAGATGGATGCATCAGTTCCAAGAATAGCATCCAGAGCTGAAAATGTCCAGCTAAAGAAATGGTGATTTTTCTATGTGTATCTTTTTTGACCAGGGAATAATCCTTCCCTAGAACCATTCTTTCCTTCCTCCAGACAATTTCATCTAATGTGTAATTGCTAGGATTGATTCATATCTCCATTCTTAAATCAATCTACTAGAAGAGAAATTGACTTTCCATTAAGGATTTAGGATGATCCATATGGAGCCCTGTTAAAATTTAAATAAAATTCAGACACTGCCAGCGTAAAACAAGGAATGAATAACTATACAGACTGCACTGGCATCCACCAGTTACTGTGAAGCCATAGTAACCCTGAACATTTGGGACACTAGTTTAAGAAATCCCTGCCAGAAATTGTAGTCAAAACCATTGGAGTCCTTATTTGGACAACAGGCAGAACAAACGCCCCTTTCTGGACTAAGCAAAGAAGGACAAATGAGACAAAGGGACTGATAAAACGTAATGAAAGGAAATTAGATGGACCAAGATCTCTCAACTCCAAAGAGAAGAGAGTTCCAAGAACAGAGAGATCAATTGCTTTAAATGTTTCAGTCATAACAATACATAGGTGCAGAATAAAGATTCTATCAAATACCATCACATAAATAAAATTTTCCCTTCCTCACATTAACGGGAGTAAGAATTGTCACCTCTGGTCTACCAGAGGAATGAACATTCCGTCTTCCAGGAAGGAACTTGACCTACTGCTCTACACTTCAGTGTTTGGTGCCACGTACATCTCAGTTATGTCCAACTTTAGGATTTATTTGCCTTCTTGGTCAAAGCAGGAATGCGCTCTCAACTTTATCATACTTATTTAAACTCCAGTTGTTCTTCAGTGGCCATTTTTAGAGCCACTTCTCTGTATAGCAAAGCCCCAAATGAGTTGCATTTCCCAGGGACACTTTCTTTAACCACTGCAGACCACATTGTTCTCTCCAAGGTAACCTAGCAGTTGAGAATTTAAATGAGACTGACGTGGGTTTGAATGTCTCCTATGATGTCTGTGTAATCTTAGGTCAATACATTATCCCGGTCTTGGTTTCTTTATTTATAAATTGGGAATTCAAAATTTCTCTTTCATAGAAGACTTCAGTTAGATACTGTATGCAAAGGGCCAGTACAATGCTTGACACATAATAAACTTTCAATAATTTTTATTGAAAAGCAAAATGCTTTTTAGGACAATTTACCACTTCCCAGTCTTCTGGTCATTATCTCCCATTTCTTTCAAGCCCTAGTTATGAGTTTTACAAATGAAAGTTCATCTCCGTAGCTGAGAGGTACCCATCTGCACAGCTAGGATAAGTGATTCTCTGCTTTACTGGAGGTAATAATCTCATGGAGATTGGTGAAAATGGGGATTTTCTGGCTTCCCCTTGGAGATTTCATTCAGAATGGTTATGTCTGTGGCCAGAATATGCATGCTGACACATCGTCCAGGTGATTCTAATCAGGTAATCCATGGATGATGTGCAAAGGAACACCATTCTACACACTTGGATGGAATGGAAGCATATTTGATAAAAACGTGCTTAGAGGAATGAAACAATGAGCTCAGAATTTTTTAGTTATGTCACCTTATAAGCTGGATAGTCTTGAAGTTGCTATTTCAAAGAGATATGTGGAAGATAATAACTTCCTTTCGGATGTGAAATTTATTTCTATATGCTAAAATGATCTACAAATTTGAATTAATATAATTCTGAAGAAAGTTGCAGATTTTTGTGTCATCTAATTATATTTGGAACATAGTAGATAGTCAATAATTATATATCTATTTATTTACTGTCACAACTAAACTGGACAAACTTCTCTTAAAATAGTTTATATTCAAGTGCAATCAAATTTCAAATTCAAAGAACGTACATTGTGTAAATGGTCCAGTGTAATATAACCTTTGAATGTAAAGTCTAGTAGTCTGCTTGGTTTCCTATATAAACGCAGAACAATAGCTGATCCAAAATTTTTCTAAAATATTAATAACTATTTTTATAGGTTTTCTTAACCAATCATAGAAGCAAAGACAATATAAATTTAATATAGTGAGTAGGTCATACATTTCCCTCCTGGGCCAACATTATTCCCTGCATTACATTTGTTTAACTCTCCAGGGCTACATTTTTCCAATAACGTGCATGGATAGTCACAGTATCATCTAAGGTAGTTGAACATTAATGAATCACTCAGCATAGGAAGAAAATGTTCCGTATCTTTCTGCATTTTCTAAAAATTCATCTAACAGCAGTTCGGTAAGTATTAAAGAATCTTCCTTGAATAGTCATTCTTATTTTTGACTTGGCTTGCCTGTATGCATTAGTGTGTGAGGTACTATTAAATGCATTGAATTTTTAAGATAGCGTCTCCATCTAAATATGTATTCTCATTACCGTGTTTTCTTTGAGTGTGGATAATTAACAGTGATATATGTTATTTTCTCCTTTTCAACTATATTATGTGAAAATCCAGATGAAAGGAAGCAAGGTAAAATCTCTGAGAATCAATATATATGCAGCTGAGGAATGAAATTTGAGTTTAAGTAACTGACAGAACTTCTTGATTTATAGCACTCTATAATATTGAATAGGATCTGTTTATGACACAACTACCATTGTAATGTTCCTTTATTTTTGGCAGGTTGTGATTATGAGCTTCCCATGTCCTGTACAAATCAGTATATTATTTGAGGAAGAATGGTATGTGACATTTAGTTGGCGAAAGATTGCAGCTTTCTAGTGTTTACTACTGTAAGAGTTCTTTCAGATGTCTCATGGGGACCAAGATTTTTTACTCATTGAAATTTGGAAAAAAATGTTTTCAGCAGGAATATATTTACACACCCTTTGTGGTTGGCACACTTTGAGGGTATCCCTCAACGATTTCTGCTTCCTAATATGCACTTTTGCATATTTTCTTCCCATTGAGTGTGAGCTAAACCCAATGATTCACTTTTAACAAAGAAAATATGACAGCCCTAACTGGTTTGGCTCAGTGGAGAGAGGGTCAGCCCTCAGACTGAAGGGTCCTGGGTTCAGTTCTGGTCAAGGGCACGTATCTCAGTTGCTCAATCCCTGGCCAGGGTTCGTGCAGGAGGCAACCAATCAATGTATCTCTCTTACATCGATGTTTCTCTCTCTCCCTGTCTCTCTTCCTCCCTTCTACTCTCTCTAAAAATCAATGGAAAAACATCCTCTGGTGAAGATTAACTTAAAAAAAAATATGACAGAGGTGATAGAAATCATTGCCATTTTATTGGCTTTCACTCACTCTCTGTCATGAGATTCATTCATGAAGCCAGCTGTCATAGTATGGAGGTGACTTATGTAGGAAAGTTAGGGCACCCTTCAGCTAACATGTAGACCAGCCAAAAACTGAGTCCTAGAGTCCAAGAGACCAGGAGGAACAGAATCGTGCCAACAACCATATAAGTGACCTTAGAAGGGAATTCTCCCCAAGGGAAGCCTTGAGATGACTATAACATTGGCCAACATTTTGATGGCAGCCTGTGAGAGATTTAATCAAGTTTTAAAATGGGTGCCAGTGAACTTTTGAAAACTTGGCCACTTTGGTCTGAAGTTGGGGAATTGAAACAGAGCTTCTTTATTTCTTGTATAGAAGTCATCTTTAAACACGCTGTAAGATTTTCCATTTTTTTCTTTGGGAACTTCTCCCACTGAATTGCATGATGATATTACTTTGATAAACAAAATATAATTTCACATCCTTACTTTACATTAAAGAAAAGAATGTGTTAGTATGGCTTATTGTTACCTAAAAATCAGACAAGATTGGATTCATTTTTGTGTTTCTAATGTGGTACCATATACATGTTATACTGGTCTGTTCATAAAATGAAAACAAATCAGACAATTTTATGTAAATAATAAAACTAAATTTTACTTAAGCTTATATATGATTTACCAAAGTACTAAAATAAACACCTCCATTTCATTCTCTTGAAATGATGCAGAACCTAAAATTTCATATTGGAGGATAGAATTATTTTTTTAAAAATATTATCTTTATTGAATTAATTTACAATTTATATTACAGAAATAAAGTTAAATTGAATAACTTTAGTCCCTAAAGTTA